GTCTAGTGTAGAAACTGCCATCTGCACTCAAATCTGTAAAATAAAACACGCGGAAATAGAGAAAATCGATACTTACCTAAACCGAGGTATAGTGGTTAATCGATACAAATAATTAAATTCAACTACAACATAAACATAAAATTTGTCTTTTCTGTTCATATTTTTTTTTCATATAGTGTAACTAATTGCCCCTGTAATTCGAGCTAGTTTTTTTATACGATTTTCACAGTAAAATTACAAATTTTCATTTAATTCGTTTTCTTAAAGTCGTACTTTCATTAAATTTTTAAATTTTTTCAAATCTGCTTTTATTTCGCTCTTTTTGCTTCTGTAAGGTCCGTCTAGTGTAGGAACTGCCATCTGCACTCAAATCTGTAAAATAAAACACGCGGAAATAGAGAAAATCGATACTTACCTAAACCGAGGTATAGTGGTTAATCGATACAAATAATTAAATTCAACTACAACTTTGCTTATAACTTTCATAAAACTTCGTTTTTTTTGTTCAAATTTTTTCTAAATAATACAACTAAATGCTCCCCATATTACCCTATAGTTTTCTTATTAAATTTTCACTGTTATATTATAAATTTTCACATTTTTCATTGTTTTATAGTCGTAAATTCACAAATAAAACATAAAATCTTCTCTAACTTTGCATAAAATTTGTCTTTTCTGTTCATATTTTCTTTTTATATAGTGTAACTAATTGCCCCCTGTAATTCCAGGTAGTTTTTTTATACAATTTTCACAGTAAAATTACAAATTTTCATTTAATTCGTTTTCTTAAACTCGTACTTTCATTAAATTTTTAAATTTTTTCAAATCTGCTTTTATTTCGCTCTTTTTGCTTCTGTAAGGTCCGTCTAGTGTAGGAACTGCCATCTGCACTCAAATCTGTAAAATAAAACACGCGGAAATAGAGAAAATCGATACTTACCTAAACCGAGGTATAGTGGTTAATCGATACAAATAATTAAATTCAACTACAACTTTGCTTATAACTTTCATAAAACTTCGTCTTTTTTGTTCAAATTTTTTCTAAATAATACAACTAAATGCTCCCCATATTACCCTATAGTTTTCTTATTAAATTTTCACTGTTATATTATAAATTTTCACATTTTTCATTGTTTTATAGTCGTAAATTCACAAATAAAACATAAAATCTTCTCTAACTTTGCATAAAATATGTCTTTTCTGTTCATATTTTCTTTTTATATAGTGTAACTAATTGCCCCCTGTAAGTCCAGCTAGTTTTTTTATACAATTTTCACAGTAAAATTACAAATTTTCATATAATTCGTTTTCTTAAAGTCGTATTTTCATTAAATTTTTAAATTTTTTCAAATCTGCTTTTATTTCGCTCTTTTTGCTTCTGTAAGGTCCGTCTAGTGTAGAAACTGCCATCTGCACTCAAATCTGTAAAGTAAAACACGCGGAAATAGAGAAAATCGATACTTACCTAAACCGAGGTATAGTGGTTAATCGATACAAATAATTAAATTCAACTACAACTTTGCTTATAACTTTCATAAAACTTCGTCTTTTTTGTTAAAATTTTTTCTAAATAATACAACTAAATGCTCCCCATATTACCCTATAGTTTTCTTATTAAATTTTCACTGTTATATTATAAATTTTCACATTTTTCATTGTTTTATAGTCGTAAATTCACAAATAAAACATAAAATCTTCTCTAACTTTGCATAAAATATGTCTTTTCTGTTCATATTTTCTTTTTATATAGTGTAACTAATTGCCCCCTGTAAGTCCAGGTAGTTTTTTTATACAATTTTCACAGTAAAATTACAAATTTTCATATAATTCGTTTTCTTAAAGTCGTATTTTCATTAAATTTTTAAATTTTTTCAAATCTGCTTTTATTTCGCTCTTTTTGCTTCTGTAAGGTCCGTCTAGTGTAGAAACTGCCATCTGCACTCAAATCTGTAAAATAAAACACGCGGAAATAGAGAAAATCGATACTTACCTAAACCGAGGTATAGTGGTTAATCGATACAAATAATTAAATTCAACTACAACATAAGCATAAAATTTGTCTTTTCTGTTCATATTTTTTTTTCATATAGTGTAACTAATTGCCCCTGTAATTCCAGCTAGTTTTTTTATACGATTTTCACAGTAAAATTACAAATTTTCATATAATTCGTTTTCTTAAAGTCGTATTTTCATTAAATTTTAAAATTTTTTCAAATCTGCTTTTATTTCGCTCTTTTTGCTTCTGTAAGATCCGTCTAGTGTAGAAACTGCCATCTGCACTCAAATCTGTAAAATAAAACACGCGGAAATAGAGGAAATCGATACTTACCTAAACCGAGGTATAGTGGTTAATCGATACAAATAATTAAATTCAACTACAACTTTGCTTATAACTTTCATAAAACTTCGTCTTTTTTGTTCAAATTTTTTCTAAATAATACAACTAAATGCTCCTCATATTACCCTATAGTTTTCTTATTAAATTTTCACTGTTATATTATAAATTTTCACATTTTTCATTGTTTTATAGTCGTAAATTCACAAATAAAACATAAAATCTTCTCTAACTTTGCATAAAATTTGTCTTTTCTGTTCATATTTTCTTTTTATATAGTGTAACTAATTGCCCCCTGTAATTCCAGGTAGTTTTTTTATACAATTTTCACAGTAAAATTACAAATTTTCATTTAATTCGTTTTCTTAAAGTCGTACTTTCATTAAATTTTTAAATTTTTTCAAATCTGCTTTTATTTAGCTCTTTTTGCTTCTGTAAGGTCCGTCTAGTGTAGGAACTGCCATCTGCACTCAAATCTGTAAAATAAAACACGCGGAAATAGAGAAAATCGATACTTACCTAAACCGAGGTATAGTGGTTAATCGATACAAATAATTAAATTCAACTACAACTTTGCTTATAACTTTCATAAAACTTCGTTTTTTTTGTTCAAATTTTTTCTAAATAATACAACTAAATGCTCCCCATATTACCCTATAGTTTTCTTATTAAATTTTCACTGTTATATTATAAATTTTCACATTTTTCATTGTTTTATAGTCGTAAATTCACAAATAAAACATAAAATCTTCTCTAACTTTGCATAAAATTTGTCTTTTCTGTTCATATTTTCTTTTTATATAGTGTAACTAATTGCCCCCTGTAATTCCAGGTAGTTTTTTTATACAATTTTCACAGTAAAATTACAAATTTTCATTTAATTCGTTTTCTTAAAGTCGTACTTTCATTAAATTTTTAAATTTTTTCAAATCTGCTTTTATTTCGCTCTTTTTGCTTCTGTAAGGTCCGTCTAGTGTAGGAACTGCCATCTGCACTCAAATCTGTAAAATAAAACACGCGGAAATAGAGAAAATCGATACTTACCTAAACCGAGGTATAGTGGTTAATCGATACAAATAATTAAATTCAACTACAACTTTGCTTATAACTTTCATAAAACTTCGTCTTTTTTGTTCAAATTTTTTCTAAATAATACAACTAATTGCTCCCCATATTACCCTATAGTTTTCTTATTAAATTTTCACTGTTATATTATAAATTTTCACATTTTTCATTGTTTTATAGTCGTAAATTCACAAATAAAACATAAAATCTTCTCTAACTTTGCATAAAATTTGTCTTTTCTGTTCATATTTTCTTTTTATATAGTGTAAATAATTGAACCCTGTAAGTCCAGGTAGTTTTTTTATACAATTTTCACAGTAAAATTACAAATTTTCATTTAATTCGTTTTCTTAAATTCGTACTTTCATTAAATTTTTAAATTTTTTCAAATCTGCTTTTATTTCGCTCTTTTTGCTTCTGTAAGGTCCGTCTAGTGTAGGAACTGCCATCTGCACTCAAATCTGTAAAATAAAACACGCGGAAATAGAGAAAATCGATACTTACCTAAACCGAGGTATAGTGGTTAATCGATACAAATAATTAAATTCAACTACAACTTTGCTTATAACTTTCATAAAACTTCGTCTTTTTTGTTCAAATTTTTTCTAAATAATACAACTAAATGCTCCCCATATTACCCTATAGTTTTCTTATTAAATTTTCACTGTTATATTATAAATTTTCACATTTTTCATTGTTTTATAGTCGTAAATTCACAAATAAAACATAAAATCTTCTCTAACTTTGCATAAAATATGTCTTTTCTGTTCATATTTTCTTTTTATATAGTGTAACTAATTGCCCCCTGTAAGTCCAGCTAGTTTTTTTATACAATTTTCACAGTAAAATTACAAATTTTCATATAATTCGTTTTCTTAAAGTCGAATTTTCATTAAATTTTTAAATTTTTTCAAATCTGCTTTTATTTCGCTCTTTTTGCTTCTGTAAGGTCCGTCTAGTGTAGAAACTACCATCTGCACTCAAATCTGTAAAATAAAACACGCGGAAATAGAGAAAATCGATACTTACCTAAACCGAGGTATAGTGGTTAATCGATACAAATAATTAAATTCAACTACAACTTTGCTTATAACTTTCATAAAACTTCGTCTTTTTTGTTCAAATTTTTTCTAAATAATACAACTAAATGCTCCCCATATTACCCTATAGTTTTCTTATTAAATTTTCACTGTTATATTATAAATTTTCACATTTTTCATTGTTTCATAGTCGTAAATTCACAAATAAAACATAAAATCTTCTCTAACTTTGCATAAAATTTGTCTTTTCTCTTTTTTTTTTTTTTTTTTTTTTTTTGCGCCCGAAGCAATTGGAAAAGGGCTACCACTGAGGGAGGCGGAAAATGCATTATGCATACCACGACAGCCGGTCTGTCCTGGTTATGTGGGACTCACTGCCTACCGGGGGACCTAAGTGATACCCACTAAAAACCGCCTCTGGGGACTGGCAACTAGCTCTATTAAAGCTGCATATGCCGTATCTAAAGCGACCCTCTTTTGGGAAAAGAGGGCGCAGACGGCTAAGTGCCGTTTAGGGACTGCCTACGAAGGCATATTATTAATTTTAACTAATTTTTAATTTAATTAGGATTGGCCTGAGCCGCCAGGAGGCAGTTCAGGTCGTTTGACAACTTATTTGGCGGGTCCAAGAGAGTGTTTCTCGGCCTGCGGACGCTATAGCGAGAAGGGAGTGGGGCGGTATAAGTAACTGCCTCACGAATAAGTGTGTTAGTATGCGACTCTGATACTTTAAAGAAGTTTTCAGAGAATTTTTTAAGACATTGCTGGATTGTTGGGATTTCTAAATCCCGGTGAAGGTCGGCATTACGGACGTACCAAGGTGCGTTCGTAGCTCGACGACAGAAGAGGTTTTGAACTACTTGGAGTTCGTTAATAATTTTATCGTTAGCGTGTGCAAAAATAGGAGCCGAGTAAGTCATAACCGGTCGTATACAAACCTTATAGAGGGTTCGCTTATTTCGTAGTGACATTTTGCTATGTCTGCCTAACATACTGTTAAGCCGACCTAAATAGAAACGTGCTAGACGCGTTACTCTTTTGACATGAGACTCAAAAGTAAGCCTATAGTCAAGGGTGACGCCTAAATATTTTGCTGACATGTGCCATGGGACAGGGGTCCCTAGCATTCGTATAGGTGGAGTATTTTTCTTGTTTTTATTACGGCGTCTTTTAATATCGAATTGAACTGCGGAGCTCTTCTCCGGGTTCACATCGATACGCCATTTTTGGAACCAGTCTCCTAGGTCATCAACTGACTTTTGGATCTTGTTCCTTGCTGAAGATATTCTAGGACTTTTGAAGTATAGTGCAGTGTCATCTGCGAAGAGTGAGAGCTGTACACCATTCGACGGGATAGGAATGTCGTTGGTGTACAAGATGTACAGGAGGGGAGCTAGTACTGATCCTTGAGGAACACCAGCTTTAATGGGGCGCTGAGAGGATAACGTGCCTTCGTGTCTAAAACGAAAGGTACGATGTTGTAAATAAGAGGCTACGAGACGTACTAGACGATCGGAGAGTCCTATCCTATATAATTTGAAAATAAGGCCTTCATGCCAGACTCGGTCGAAGGCTTTGGCTATGTCGAAAAAGACCGCGATTGTCTTTAGTCGACGTGGATAAAAACCGCTGAGGATATATTCCACAATGCGGTGTACCTGTTGTGGACACGAGTGTTTTGCGCGGAAACCAAATTGGTGTGGGATGACAATGGGGTCACCGTCTGTGGGAAACAGATGGCGCCTCATTCGATTTTGAATGACTCTTTCAAAGAGTTTGCCCATGGCCTTTAGGAGGCTAATGGGACGATGACTGGAGGGGAGGTTAAGAGGCTTGCCTGGCTTGGGAATACCAATGACAATTGCCTCTTTCCAAGAAGTGGGAAAGTAACTAAGATTAAAACAGGCGTTAAAGATAATAGCTAAGAGGGTTAACACCTGCTCTGGAAAGTATTTAAGGGCTTGGTTGGATATGCCATCCGCGCCCGGAGATTTTTTGGGCTTAAGTCCTTTGATGAGGGACGAGATCTCATCATTGGACACAGTGATAGGGTCAGAGGTTGTGGGGGGTGAGTTCCGGCGGCGGACCTCATCCTCCACTTCCTGAATATGTGAGGGGTCGACAGGTTGAGAGCTAGGAGAGCATTGTGCGGCAATGCTGTCTGCAAAGCACTCAGCCTTCTCGTCGTCCTCGAAGGCAACCGTACCGTCGGGGCGGGAGAGAGGGGGAGTGTGAGTTGTAGCGTCTATACGGAGGGCTCTAGCCATCTGATAGTACGCTGTATGTGAGGGAGATATATTCTCCATGAGTTCACTCCTTTGGAGCTCTCGAAATTCATAAAGGTGCGAACGGAGTTTTCGTTGAAGACGATTAGCCGTATGCCTATATTCGGGGGTGGGATATTTAGCTGCTCTCCGGAAAGCAGCTTTTTTAGCTTTTAATATGTTGCTAATATATAGGGGAAGCCCATTAGTATTAGCAACCGGAACGACCCTTTCATTCTCCTTAAGGGAGGATTTAATTAGGGTTGAAAGTGATTCGACCGCGGTATCGATTTTTACAGGACTGTCTAAGTCTAAGTCCGACGATAGGTAATTAGGGGAGTCATGCGAGTCCATAGCTTTTGCTAGTGAGTCCTTGAAACCCTTCCAGTTAGTGAAGGTTTTCGTAGTTATAATAGGGGGTGGCTGATGGCCAAGAATAAGAGAGACCGGTCGGTGATCGGATCCTATATCGTCTAGTGTCTCAATAGACCTGAGGTTGAGTGAAACTCCTTTGAGTAACGCAAAATCTAGTACATCTGGGTTATAATCGGTATTATCGGGATAGTGCGTTGCACCGAGCGGGCTGAAAACGGTTAAGTCAAGAGACTGCGTTATATCACGCAGTATCCTACCATTAGTATTAATCGTACGGCATGTCCATTCAGTATGTTTAGAGTTGAAATCTCCAAACATAATGACTGAATTACTTTGAGATAAGATTGCCTCAAAATCATCTTTGAGGGGGAGGTTTTTAGGGGGAATGTAACAGGAGGCTATGACTAAAGACTGATGTCCCGTCATAGATATCCTGCATAACGTAGCTTCCATATTGGTAAGCTGTGGAGTATCAATAAGAGAGCAATGTAGTGTCTTCTTGTAATAAATGGCCGTGCCGCCGCCTCGGCGGTCGTGCCTATCATTACGAAGAAGAGAATAATTTTTAATGGATAAGCCTTTATTGTCTGTGTGTTTAAGATTGGTTTCCTGTAAGAGGAGAAAATCAGCTTCGCGATCTTTAAGGAAGAGCTTAAGCTCTGGGAGATTATTACGCAATCCGCGAATATTAAATGAAATAAGCGATAGCCCTTTGGGCTTGATACGACCGTGACTTCTAGGCAGAGCAGAAGGCTCTGTCATTATAAGCTAAGTTAATTAAGTTAACTTAGCTTACAACGAACGCAATAAATTACTGTGTTCTGCGAGAGCCAAAAGCCGGTCCTGAGGGGACCGGGCGGCGCGCAGTTTACTCGCTAAAACCGAGATTTCGTTAATGTCGATGTTCCTTATCGCGGCGTAAACCGTGTTAAAGTCATCGCCAATTGTCGACTGTTTCTGCTGCGGAGCAGAAAATACCTGTGGCGGTGGATCTACCTTTTTGGGGCCCCAGGCAAAAACTGGAGCCTGCATAGGCTTGGAGAAGCCCGGTGGTGGCCTAAGCGGTGCCTGCGGTGGTCTCGGGAGACCCTGAGGGGGTCGTGCAAAGCCCTGAGACGGCTGAGATACGCCCTGACGGGGCTTCCTAACATATAAGGCCGGGAATGAACGGTCATTTACCGGCGGTGGTGCCTGTCTTGCTATGCGCGGACGAGGAGCGCACGGGCATCCTCTGTAGCTCGCCGGGTGGCCTGTCTGTTGACACAGGACGCACGCGGGCGGGGATACGGCATCTTTGGGACACTCTTTGGTGATGTGCGGATCTAGGCACTTAACGCACCTGGGTGGGGCGGAGCAATTGGCCGCCGCGTGACCATACAATTGGCAGCGGTGGCACTGCGCCGGGAAACCGCGCCTACGCGGTGACTCAACCTTGACTCCAGACAAGCCGCACACAGTGCGTACTTGCCGGAAGATGGTTTTAGCCTCCGGGACGTTACTTAAAATTACTAATATTACCGGGTATCTCAGCCCGGTCCTACTATGCATTTTGTGAACCGCTTCAACGGGGAAACCTTGTGACTTAAGGTCCGCAAGTATCTCCTCGTTGGAGAGTTCAAACGGGACGCCTCGGATGACGACCCTAACTTTACGCTCTTCCGGGAGAGCGTATGTGTGGTACGATACGCGTTCGTACGTAAAAAGTTTCGTGATACGGCGGAAATCGTCGATCGTGGTTGGCAATATTTTGATTGCTACGCCTAAGTTGGTAGCATCCTCGTACTTAATTTTCGAGTCGTAACATATCTTACTGAGCCGGGTAAATTCAGCCTTATCTCTTAAGAAGACAGGGGGCGGGGCTTGTTTCTTAGCTAATTGCGGAGCGCAACGTGAAGCCGGCTTCGACGGCGCTGCAATATCTAAGGGGGTCGAGGCAGCGGCGGGGGCTGCGGAGGTAGACGCGGCAGCGGCGGGGGCTGCGGGGGTGGGGGGAGCGGCACGGGCCGCTTCGGCGGGGGGCGAACGGTTTTTCGCGGCGCGCTTCGCTGCGCGCTTTGACGACACCGTGGTGTAAGACGTGTTAGAGTTGTTAGAGTCACCGGTATCATCGGAGTCAGAGGACTCCGATGTCCTGGTGCTGGACTGTTTGGCAGGCCTCTTCCGGGAGGCAGATGTTGATGACGCGGAGTCGGAGTGAGAGCACTCCATGTCGATTTCGAGCGGCGCGAACGAATTACGTGACGCGAGGTAGTCCGCTATAACGGGCGGCGGTGCCTGAAGGGCGGGAGGAGCCAGAAGGGCTGAGATGGCTGCTTTAAGAGCTTGCGTGTCATTTTGGAACCTATGGACTGCATCGAGCACGTTACCTGCGAACTGCGAGGACATTTTAACCTATTCTACAACTAAACTAAAAAATAAATTAAAAATTAGAACTATCGTATGGCGTGGGGGGATCAGGGATCACCGTTCTGAAAAGAACGGGACGTTCTTATTCTGAAACTCTCCCTCGTCCTCAAAAGGACGGGGGCTAAGTCAAGAAACAATATGACAATATACACGTTATATATACTACACATATAATTATAATAAACTACTAACATATACAGTACTAGTGTACTACAATATAAAAAGCGTTCAGTCAGACCTCCCCGACCTGAGGCGGGGGGGTAAGAGCTGAGAGTTAGCGATGAGACACTCACCCGACTTCAGCGCTTATAGCGCCAACACTGAGAGGCGCGCGGGGCGCGAAACTGGGGGGGCGCTAACGGAGCGCACGCGGACTACCTGGTACACCCGCTCGAGAGCGGAGCCACAGGTGGAATGTCTTTTCTCTTCATATTTTCTTTTTATATAGTGTAACTAATTGCCCCCTGTAATTCCAGGTAGTTTTTTTATACAATTTTCACAGTAAAATTACAAATTTTCATTTAATTCGTTTTCTTAAAGTCGTACTTTCATTAAATTTTTAAATTTTTTCAAATCTGCTTTTATTTCGCTCTTTTTGCTTCTGTAAGGTCCGTCTAGTGTAGGAACTGCCATCTGCACTCAAATCTGTAAAATAAAACACGCGGAAATAGAGAAAATCGATACTTACCTAAACCGAGGTATAGTGGTTAATCGATACAAATAATTAAATTCAACTACAACTTTGCTTATAACTTTCATAAAACTTCGTCTTTTTTGTTAAAATTTTTTCTAAATAATACAACTAAATGCTCCCCATATTACCCTATAGTTTTCTTATTAAATTTTCACTGTTATATTATAAATTTTCACATTTTTCATTGTTTTATAGTCGTAAATTCACAAATAAAACATAAAATCTTCTCTAACTTTGCATAAAATATGTCTTTTCTGTTCATATTTTCTTTTTATATAGTGTAACTAATTGCCCCCTGTAAGTCCAGGTAGTTTTTTTATACAATTTTCACAGTAAAATTACAAATTTTCATATAATTCGTTTTCTTAAAGTCGTATTTTCATTAAATTTTAAAATTTTTTCAAATCTGCTTTTATTTCGCTCTTTTTGCTTCTGTAAGGTCCGTCTAGTGTAGGAACTGCCATCTGCACTCAAATCTGTAAAATAAAACACGCGGAAATAGAGAAAATCGATACTTACCTAAACCGAGGTATAGTGGTTAATCGATACAAATAATTAAATTCAACTACAACTTTGCTTATAACTTTCATAAAACTTCGTCTTTTTTGTTCAAATTTTTTCTAAATAATACAACTAATTGCTCCCCATATTACCCTATAGTTTTCTTATTAAATTTTCACTGTTATATTATAAATTTTCACATTTTTCATTGTTTTATAGTCGTAAATTCACAAATAAAACATAAAATCTTCTCTAACTTTGCATAAAATTTGTCTTTTCTGTTCATATTTTCTTTTTATATAGTGTAACTAATTGCCCCCTGTAAGTCCAGGTAGTTTTTTTATACAATTTTCACAGTAAAATTACAAATTTTCATATAATTCGTTTTCTTAAAGTCGAATTTTCATTAAATTTTTAAATTTTTTCAAATCTGCTTTTATTTCGCTCTTTTTGCTTCTGTAAGGTCCGTCTAGTGTAGAAACTACCATCTGCACTCAAATCTGTAAAATAAAACACGCGGAAATAGAGAAAATCGATACTTACCTAAACCGCGGTATAGTGGTTAATCGATACAAATAATTAAATTCAACTACACCTTTGCTTATAACTTTCATAAAACTTCGTTTTTTTTGTTCAAATTTTTTCTAAATAATACAACTAAATGCTCCCCATATTACCCTATAGTTTTCTTATTAAATTTTCACTGTTATATTATAAATTTTCACATTTTTCATTGTTTTATAGTCGTAAATTCACAAATAAAACATAAAATCTTCTCTAACTTTGCATAAAATTTGTCTTTTCTCTTCATATTTTCTTTTTATATAGTGTAACTAATTGCCCCCTGTAATTCCAGGTAGTTTTTTTTATACAATTTTCACAGTAAAATTACAAATTTTCATTTAATTCGTTTTCTTAAAGTCGTACTTTCATTAAATTTTTAAATTTTTTCAAATCTGCTTTTATTTCGCTCTTTTTGCTTCTGTAAGGTCCGTCTAGTGTAGGAACTGCCATCTGCACTCAAATCTGTAAAATAAAACACGCGGAAATAGAGAAAATCGATACTTACCTAAACCGAGGTATAGTGGTTAATCGATACAAATAATTAAATTCAACTACAACTTTGCTTATAACTTTCATAAAACTTCGTCTTTTTTGTTAAAATTTTTTCTAAATAATACAACTAAATGCTCCCCATATTACCCTATAGTTTTCTTATTAAATTTTCACTGTTATATTATAAATTTTCACATTTTTCATTGTTTTATAGTCGTAAATTCACAAATAAAACATAAAATCTTCTCTAACTTTGCATAAAATATGTCTTTTCTGTTCATATTTTCTTTTTATATAGTGTAACTAATTGCCCCCTGTAAGTCCAGGTAGTTTTTTTATACAATTTTCACAGTAAAATTACAAATTTTCATATAATTCGTTTTCTTAAAGTCGTATTTTCATTAAATTTTTAAATTTTTTCAAATCTGCTTTTATTTCGCTCTTTTTGCTTCTGTAAGGTCCGTCTAATGTAGAAACTGCCATCTGCACTCAAATCTGTAAAATAAAACACGCGGAAATAGAGAAAATCGATACTTACCTAAACCGAGGTATAGTGGTTAATCGATACAAATAATTAAATTCAACTACAACTTTGCTTATAACTTTCATAAAACTTCGTCTTTTTTGTTCAAATTTTTTCTAAATAATACAACTAATTGCTCCCCATATTACCCTATAGTTTTCTTATTAAATTTTCACTGTTATATTATAAATTTTCACATTTTTCATTGTTTTATAGTCGTAAATTCACAAATAAAACATAAAATCTTCTCTAACTTTGCATAAAATTTGTCTTTTCTGTTCATATTTTCTTTTTATATAGTGTAACTAATTGCCCCCTGTAAGTCCAGGTAGTTTTTTTATACAATTTTCACAGTAAAATTACAAATTTTCATTTAATTCGTTTTCTTAAAGTCGTACTTTCATTAAATTTTTAAATTTTTTCAAATCTGCTTTTATTTCGCTCTTTTTGCTTCTGTAAGGTCCGTCTAGTGTAGGAACTGCCATCTGCACTCAAATCTGTAAAATAAAACACGCGGAAATAGAGAAAATCGATACTTACCTAAACCGAGGTATAGTGGTTAATCGATACAAATAATTAAAT